CAGCTAAATCAAACATATTTGTTGTTGTTTTACAGACAGGCTTTTTAATGAATAATTCACCTGTTCATTCTTGCTGTATCTGTCACACAAGCTACTTTGTTAATTTTTTATCTCATTGATTAAACATATCTGTGTTATTGTTTGTTATGGTGATTGTGTGTACATTCACACCATCAACGGCAGCATTTTGAAAACTGGCAGAACAAAAATGTTATACTTTAGAACGTAATAAACCAAAAACAAAACACAGAATGGAATACTTTAAACTTTTAATAATACGGACAAATTATTCTAAACATATTACCCAAAAAGTGATTGGTACAAAATGTCTCAAAGCCAATAAGTGGTGGCAGGCAAATGTGTGAATGTACAACATAGATATATATATATAACGAGAGAGAGAGAGAGAGAGAGAGAGAGAGAGAGAGAGAGAGAGAGAGAGAGAGAGAGAGAGAGAGAGAGAGAGAGAGAGAGAGAGAGAGAGAGAGAGAGAGAGAGAGAGAGAGAGAGAGTTACTTGTTTAATGAAATGTGTGGGGTTAATTGATGTAGTTTGTATGATGCTTTGGCAATATTGTTGTTACACATTCATGCCAATAAAGCTAATCTGAATTGAAATGACAGAGACAGAAAGAAGAAAGGGGGAGATACAGACTGGGACAAAGTAAGAAAGGAAAAGCAGCAGAGACAAAAAGCCAGTGACAGACACAGTTAGGTATACTGTATAGCAATAGACGCAGAGCGGTGGCAGGGTGTGACCAGCAGCAGGATGACACTCAGGAGTTTTCCTGCAGCAGCTGAGGTGCCTGGCAGGGGAATAGCAGGCTGCTATCAGAGCAAACTGTTCTGCTAATTACTTTCGATTTCCTCTTGATACTGTACTTCAGATGAGGGGCAGAAGCCTTATCCCCTTGAAGTCCATTACCATGTGTTGCCCTTTTACAAGACTTATTTGCCATCATATTTATCCTGATAAGTTTATGTCCTTGCTGGTGCACGGGGTGTCAACAGTGGTGTACACAAAGATTTCACTCCCGTAAACAACATGTGAAAACACTTTGTCTTACACAGTTTTTCAAACTACCATATACAACAACTTATCACACTTTTCCTCTTGACGAGCTTCATGGGACTCACAGCACAGTGTGCGCAGTGGCTCCCTGTTGTGACAAAGCTGGGTTTGCATGGCATCCCAAATAACAAGAACTAAAATTTGATGCTTTGGGTGGTTGTCAGAAAGCTTTTAAGTAAGCCTCAACATTAAAAAAGGTTGACGGTAAATGGGAAACATGCTGCATTTTTATCACCAAGTAGATACAGCAGCAGCAAGTTTCAGTATTAGGGTAAGAAGCGGCACCACAAGCCTTCAAAAGGTTTGTTTTCCATTGAAAATGAAATGTGACTGACTTCAGTCCATCTTTCTCTTGAAAAGCAGACAGCATATTAATACTACACAGAGAATTATTTAGTGACTGACCCGATATGCTTCAACAAAGAGAAGGCACTGAAGTAAGAATGATAATTTCAGTGATTACAGGTATTTGTAATGGTAAAGAGAAGTAAACATCATGAAGAACACACTGCGCCAAACATCTAAGGTGGGCGTCAAACCTACTGTTTACCAAGGAAGACAAAATCAATGCCCTACCCACTGCGCCAAGAACTGCATCTCACCTCACATTGGGCAGCAGCCATAGGCAGCAGCAGCCGGTCTTACGGGTTTGGTAAACCTGTGGACGGTGTGAAGCCGTAAACTTTTGACTGGCAGGATGATAGGGATTTTCTCAGCAGAGTGACAAGCCTTTACATGACAGACTATTATAAAATAAATACATGTGCTTGTCACCTTTAATTAGTGTTCTTGGTACATGAGTAGAGCGATCACCGAATGTTCAGTTTTCATTTATAACATCTGCTTCCAGTTTATGTCAAAAGACAAATTCCCTAGCAAGGCCAATATTTATCTTAAACAAAAACTAAAACAGTTTCTATTTTGTTAAACAACAGATCCCAGGACACATGCAGCATCTCAACATGTGAAGCCAAACACTTTAGATCATGTATGAAATCTTCATCCCTCACTGTAAATGACTACAAACATCACTTGATTCTTCTGCTAAATTCCCAGGTAACTGCGGTTAATTAAATAAACGGATTTCAGGTTTACTTCTCTCTGCTAAGAAGTAGCTGACAAGAAGATTTGCCTCATGAGTGGATGGTATCTCTGTTAAGTGGTTGGGGATGTTCCCTTCATGTAACGCAATTTCTGCATGATAATGAATGGATGCAAACTGACGACTGACTGAGGAGAGAAAATCAACAAGAATCTACGGAAGCATTTTCAGCAGTCACGTCATATTTTCGTTAAACAGAAACCTGTTTACTTATCACAAACATTGAACCAACTGTACTGCACGGATCTGTGGATTCAACTGTGGACACAACTTCCAACAAACCCACATAACAGCCAAGCCATGCCTATTCAGGACGTGTCCCAGCTTCACGGTTAGGGAGACTTACAGTCCCTTCACAAAGTTTCTGGTCGATCAACTAGAGCGCGTTAAGCACCGACATGCCCTAGTCCTCCTTTCTAAAAATGTGACCTTTTATCAACACACTACAGCTAAGTTAGTATTCAAAATAACCGCAAATGACTAAAAAGAAGCTCTATTTATTGTGTTTTTCCCTACGTCTACTTGTCACGCGATTTCCATTCAAACTAAGTGCTCTGCTAGATGAAGTAAAACTCGCTCGTCAACACTGACAGTTCGCTGACACCACTTAATGTTTCTTCCACAATAAGGTATCAAGGATATGGAAAGATGAGCTGGAATAACGAGCGTTTAAACACTGTTTATGTGTCGGGGCCACAAGAAACCGCATTCACACAAGTGGAGTAACGTTAACGTTAACTTACTGAGGCGGATGGATACTGTGCGTGCGCCCAAAGCGCGAGACTGTACGTTAGCTGGCAAAACAGTCGGTAAATAAGTCTTTTAGCTAGCTAAGTTAGCTCAATTAAAAACACAACGCAAGTTTTTCATGTTTTCATTGTGTTTGTCACTTTGGAGGTCGACTAGTTGCAATTTGCAGGTGTTAAACACGCATGTCACACTGAAAGTTTTCACAAAAAAATGGGTGTCTAGCAAACTGCTCGCATCACAAATTACCTTGTCTGTCGGACGCTTCCGTTACTTTCTCCGTGCGATTCGTCTGCCTCCCCCGCGGACCCGTTGTCGTCGTCCTCCACGGTAACGTCTGCTACAATGACCGGGGCGCCTACGTTCTCCAAGCCCCGCTCCATGACTCTCAAACCATCTTCCTCCGAGGTCGAACCTGAGCCCCGGGTGGCGGACTGCGGCTCCCCCCCGATGGCGGAGCCTTGAGTTTGCAAAATCCCGAATCCGATGAGCGCTTTCAGCAACAGCAGGAGCACCAGGGAAATGCTCACGTTTCCAAAGTGAAGCCCCCTTTCCATTTGTAAGACTGGCACATTAGTGAAATATGAGATTTACATGCCACTGGCCTTGTAAATCTTAACATAAAAAACTTAAAAGTGTAAAAAAAACAAACAGTTTAACTACAAAGAAAACTCCGTTGTGTCAAAACGTCCTTTCAAATCTCTTCTTCAAGTAAACATAAACAGCCACTGGGACACCATGTTATTCCCTTTATACTTGACTCAAGACTTGCCTTGGTAACGCTAAGTCCCGCCTTGTTTCTACACTAGGATTGGACAGTAAAATCCCTACATTCGTTAAAAAATCATGTAACCGCTTCTGATTGCGCCGTTTGCTGTCAATCACGCATACTCGCATACTAAGCAGAATACGATTGAATCAGAGATCTGTCACTCGAAGAGGCGGGCTCAGAATGTTACAGCCCCCCAAACAGTGAATTTCATTGGCCAATCCAGTGTTTGTCAAAGCGACGCAGGCGCACTAGCTACTGCCACACAACGGGAGCATAAGTTGACGCAAAAAAGTCCCCGATGGCGCTTCCTGTGGCGGATATTTCATTGGTGGGATGTGTCGTCGTCTGGCCAATAAGAGAGAGAACGCTGATAAGCAGCAACTCTATTGGTCGATCCCTGCACCGCTGACTAAATGCAAGCACTCGATTCGATATTTCAGGTGTCATTCATGAGTAGTTGTCAAGACAGTCGATATGAAAGCATCAACGTGGCTTCACTGTAGATTATAGGTACATTTCCTGTTCCTGATCACGAGTTATGTTTTCTCACTTTCGACTAAACAAACTGGAGACTGACATGTCTGTTAAAGACTCTGAAAGCATTAAAATTTTTATATATAAAGCGTATGTAAAACTACATGTCATTCACGGAGCTTTCAAGTTCCTTTTTTTATTTTTTTCATATATATTTTTATAAAAAATATGTTACTTTAAACGTATATCAAAAAGCATTTGTAGCAGTGGAGACTAGTTCAATGCGTTTAAGATGTGTTTTATAATAATCTTAGGTGGCATTTAAGGTCATGTGAGCACCTTGCAAGCCGCTTGCATTTCTAGCGTCCCCAAGTGGCAATAAAGAAGAACTGCACCATAAAAGTTTTCTTTCCACCTTCACTTTTGGTCGAAAGTTTCCTATCTGCATTGACATGAACATTTAAGAATATTCTGTTGTTACAAAGCAAGAACAAGATTTTCTCACCTACCTCTACTGATATTTACAAGGGTTGCAACAAAGAATCACTTTAATTATCATTTAATCTAAATATTTTGTTTTTTATAGATTGGTCTACAAATGACAGGGAAATAGAATATTACAACTTTTCAGAGTTTACTATAATAGAGAGAAGGAAATATCTGTAAAGCAAGAACTTGTGAATATTTGGCCAAAAAATTACAATTATTATAACAAGTGTCACCAACAACATTTAATATATAGTTTTGGAGTTTGTCTTTCACCGTTCAAGTTGTTGACAGAATGACAAGATTATTTTCACCAAATTATCAGAAATGAAACACAGAGGCACACTGTTTAAACTCAATTTTGGTCCTGTATTGGTTGACAAAGAAAATAGTACCTTCACAGCAAAATCATTATCACAGTCATTTGGTAAAGAAAGGAATAAAAGAAATGCTGGTGATCCAACATGGGGTAGATCTTGTTTTGGATCCACACCAGTCCACATATTCCTAGTTGATTTAACCTTCTTAGTATTGTATAGTACAAAAACATAAACATACATAATTAAAAACCAAAGTGTAAGGCATTGTGAGCCAAAAGCAAAGTGAATAGCTGCTTTCCAAAAGAAGGGATATCAATCATATGGAGGAAAAAAAAAAATAAGACAAAGTATCACACATTTCAAACCAATGATGGTTGTTGTAGACAGTAAAGTTACTTGTCATTTGTGTAAGGAAAGACAACTTGACTATTTGAATCTTTGAGAAAAGGAGTGATGAGCTTCTGATTGCTTTTTGAGAGGGGTTTGGGGGGGCAGTAGCATTTTGAAAATAGTCTAGTAAATAGTATTTTTAGACTATTTCAACAACAGTACTGTGCTGATTTGAGACACATTACCTCAGTGAACCTACTGCACACTGAGCACAGATTTTATAAAACACCTTAAAGCTGCACGTACAGCTTCTTTTTTAATGTTCCCCAATTAGAAATGAGATAGGACCTTGCGAAACAAACTGACCAAACATGATATATTGGAATTTGGATTTTAAGTGCAGCACAGAAATTAAATCAAACCTTGTGAATTTTTATTTTGTCTGTATCAACTGCATTTTTTTATATATTTTACAAGTAAATGTCTTTCCTAAAACCTGATGATGCAGCTTTTAACAACAGGCAGTTGTTCCAACAATGAAACCAGCTACATAATAAATTAATTTTGCTGCATCTGAATTAAAAAAAAAAAAAATAATAATATAAGTGTTTTATTGCTTTGGTGCGCCAAGGCACAAATGTTACTTGTGGAGCTGTTGGTTCAGATTTGAGCTACATCAGTTCACCATTAACTGTGACCATTTTATAGAATAGCTGCCCATCACCCTTACCCCAAAGTGTTTCACAAGTCTTTCTAGAGCTATATTCAAAGTTAAGTTTATGGCACAAGACTTCCTGTGACCAGACAGCTTGTGTAAGATAAGAAATTGTCATGCAAGTAACTTACAGGCACAAAAAAGAACCAACACAGTGGAAGGAGTTACGTTCATGAAAGTACACCTTCATTCAGTTGTTTGTTTTGTCAAACAGTGAGATGCTGTGGAATTTAACTGACTTGACTAGTGTAATTCTACAGAAACGTTGCTGAAACCCAGAGAAAACCACAAAAGATTTCCACTGTACTCACAGTTGCAGAGCAGGAAACCAGATTACTGGTCCACAACAACAGTGGCTACCATATGCTAAAATTCAACAGCCAAGGACATTAGAACTTCCATAGAGACCATGTATCCCACAAGTGGAGTGACAAACAAATTTACACATCCAAAATTTTCAAGCCAGCTCTGCGCACCATAACTTTAAAGGAATCTTATGTGACGGAATGGAGTCGTTAACAGGTTTAAATCCTGAGATGCACATGTGGTTATACTTGTCTAACCTGTACAGTTGGACATGTTGACATGTTCTGCGCAACATCAGAATTCCTAGCGGAGGATGTTAATTTGTTGGCATGTGCGGCTGAAAAATGAACCAAGAGTTGCTGAAAGACACGACAGAGCAGAAAACCAGGAGCTTCAGTGACACAGAGAAAGTAAAGGAACGGCGAAGCCTGCATGTTTCAGCAACAGGAAGTACATACTCTTAGTGAAAGGACGATTTCAAGGTTTGATGGTTCTCAACCCTTTTGCTGCAAATGTAGCAACACCTATAGGTGGTGTTTTAATGCCAGCAGAATCTACATTATATTTATTACAGCCCACATCTGTGCTGCATGGTATGTGTACACCATACACATACCAACAACATTGTATCATCACAGTGTCACGTGTCTTCCTAACACAATTACCAAATAATAGAAGCTTCGTACCTGCACCACAGGGTTTCCCTAAACTGTCCATGGCATTATTAATTTTTGGAGCTTCTTGCTGTCTAAATTAGCATATTAATGAAGGAAATTAATTTCTTGAGACATGTATAACTTTCTATGTTGTAGTATGCAACTCATTTAACTCCCCCATTCTGTAATCTAATTAAACAAAAACACTTCAAGGCATATCAGCTCTCTCACTGCTTAAAATGTCTTGACTACTATACTTTTGTTTGCAGCAGCCCAGCAAATGACCATAGTTTGATGTATGATTATGAGCTTTTTAAATGCAACTATAATGGCGTCATGTCTTTTAATAGATCATAAAATATAATCAAGGCACACCTTTATTTAGCAGCACCGAAGTGATTCACCAAGCTAGATGAGAACCACAGCACTGCAGACATTCAGTCAAACTTGCTCATTACAGCAAGAGCCAACGCTTCCAGGCAGAGACCAGGCAGCCAAACTGAGGAAATACAGGCTGAAAAAAACAAAACAAAACAGGAAGCATAACAGATGCACTTGATTTTACTCATCAGGCACTATAAAACATGCAGAATCAGAAGCACCGCTTGCAGGATGAGAAAAATCAAGTGATCCTCAACAGGATCTGGTTTTGTGATGTGTGAAAACTTCCCTGCTACGACACAGTCCGAGACCAGGTGTAAATCATGAACACGGCACTTGCGGGGAAAGTGAGGTCATTCAAGAGGAGGTAAGAGACTGTGATTATGGCAAACTCCTCAGTTGACTGGAGGATCCCGAACTTGCACGCTTCCATCCTCCATCCCAAAGTAGGCTCGCTCAGCCATGCCAACGAAAAGCCCCGTCTCCACCACCCCTGAGGAGGACAAAAACAGAGATACTGAGGGTGTTGTTGGACAATATAGGTCAAGTCTTCCTCTTGATTGCTGGTTTTGTTCAATTTCAGTCCATTATGCTAATATTTCCTGTGTGTGATGAGCAATGATTGGTTGGTAGGATGGTTGGCCATCACCAAACACAAACTGCACCTTACTTCATAAACAAACAGTCATCTGTCAGCTCCTCACCTGGAATCATCTTGATTGCGGTGTTGACTTCCTTCCAGTTCTGAGCGTGCTCAAACTTCCAGTCCAGGATGAAGTTGCTGTTGTCAGTGACCACGGGACCCTGAGGGGCAGACAGGAACAACTGAGGCTAGGTCTGAACAATTAAAAGAAATATTGAAAATGGCCAAGTGCTATGTCCAAATCGCAGCAGCTGTATTTTCTTGATTTAAAAAAAAGAAATAAGAACAAAAAAGAGGAAGGAATAAATGAAGCACTGCGGTGCTACAGAGATCATGTTCTCCAGACATAAGGGAACATGCTTGTTTGGTACATATCCCAGCCAAAATCACATTATTTTTGTATTCTTTTCAGTGAAAATGTAATGCAAAGTTACTATTGCCACTAACATGGTGACTCATATCACAATATCTGTCTAAATAATCTTTTTTTGTGCATGTCGTTCAGGCCTAACTCAGATCAGGATATTTATGCCCTGAGCTAACTCTGGGGACTTTCAGAAAAGCACATAAGAAAATTGCAAACAACATCTTTTTAAGTATCACATGAACACTGATGACACAACTAAATGTTTATCACATTGACCACTTATCACAATGTGTTGAGTTAGCTGAAAATAATCATTATCATGCGAAGGTTGAACAGCTGTCTATTAGGATCTTTGTTTTCCAGTCCACTGTGACTCAAGATAGAAACTGAAGGACTGGAACAAAACTCATGTCAACAGTTATTTATTTTGTTGACATGATGGAATACTTCTGAAGTCTTAACAACAGTGTAGTGGCAGAAAGCTCTTCAAAATTAACCTGCTGAACAGAGAAGTATACCAGTTAACCAACTACAGACTGTCAGTGAGGCCTTTTTGTCCTCTGGATTCAGTGCAAACAAGACAAGACAAACAAAACAGGGACCCAGTCAAGAAAAAAAACTGCTCCATAGCGCTACTAGAGCTCAAACACTCCACAGGGTACGTTTAAGCTCACACAAGTCCAGAAAGACTGTACATTTGGATTGACAGTGTAGCCTTTTCAGGGCTTCATGTCAAGTTAAAATTAGTTTTAGTGTCACCATAAAAAGGTTTTCTACCTGGAACTCAGGACCACCACAGGCCCCCCGGAAAGAGAATCTAAGAGATCTAACAGTATTGTATGAAAAATAACACAGAAAGCAAAGCTAGGAGTACAGAGGTGAACATTCAGTGTGCTGGAGTCAAGCAAATCCTTCACTTACTGCTTTACTGACAGCCATTCGTAAGTTGGCCTCCCCTCCGAAGCTTTTGGCTATCGTCCTGGAGACAGGGACGTACGCCATGGGGATCACCTCAATAGGGACTCCCTTCTTCCACTGCTCGCCCAGAGCCTTGGAGTCCTTCCTGGGAGGAGAAAGCAGAGTTTTTAATAGATTTTTAAAATCACATAGATGCAGATTAAAAGACACCTTTTATATTGTAACTACTGTTAAGGAGATATTTTCTGTTGGATCTGAGTTTATACAGAATTACACAATAAATGTGTTCCTACAATAGTATCATGTAGGAAAGGTGTGAAAAAGGTAAAAAGAGAAATGTAGAAAAGGCTTCTAGCTGTGTGAAAGCAGAGTAACAATATTCAGCAAGTCACCCAAATTTCAATTTATTACTTGTAGCTCAGAGTGACTGAGTCACGTTGTATAGAGACAGCCAACAAGCTTATCTCACACAAAAATATTTTTATTACTTAACATTTTAATTCATGCTTTAGTTAGTGCTACCAACTGGTGGTTGTAAAACACTTTGCTAATGCAGTCTAATAGAAAGATGGAATTCAAGATTCTTGTACAGTTCCACCTCTCAATCAGCTGGATTTAACAAATCTTTAATGATAAACCACAAAACAAATCTTAAAATCAAAGTCTGGCAAAACTGTTTCCAGACTTTTTTCTAATTTAACTTCTCTTCAAGAGGTAAGCCAGCAAATACAGACCTGTAGTCGGCAATGACAACGAAATGTTTGGCACAGCCGGCTACAATCTTCTCCTGAGTCAGGCAGCCGCTGTGATGCAAACAGAGGACGTGTGAGAGAGATAAAATCAGAGGAGACACTGTTTAAGTTCTGCTGTCTGTATTAAACTGTACTCACCCTCCACCTTTTATCAGCGTGAGATCTGCATCCACTTCATCTGCTCCGTCAATCGCCACATCCAGCTGTGTGGGAGGAATGTAAAGACAAATTTATTACAAAAGGCAGCATGCAAAGCAAAAAGGTACAACAAATATTCCCGAACCATTCTCTGCATTTAGAATTTGCAACAGTCAGCTCCAGTTCATGTTCGTTTTTTTTTTTTTGCAGTTGTACAGGCATAACATTCACAGCGCTCCAATTCAAGCTGACAGGATTTGAGCTCCAACATATTGTGGTCCTTCCACATTTCCAATTGGCTTTCAAATTCATTTGCAAAAAGCTCGTCATACCTCTGGGTGCCTGTCCAGATCCGACAGCGTGAGGCCGTGCTGCAGAATCAGCTGACGAGCCTGTGGGAGGACGAGCCGCGAGACGGGAGAAAATGAGACAACCACGAAAACAGCAGGAAAAGTGACAAGAAAAGCAGAGGAAAAGCTGCAGTGCCATTTCCATTTCGTAGGGCACGCTTGAAACACGAAAACAGCAATTAATGTATTTTCTCTTGCAAGTCACAGTGTCATCTATAGATTTAGACAAAAAAAAGAAATGACAATGTGTGTGGCAATGAATTGCATTCAAAAGCATAATGTTGCAGCACACACTGTTGCCAAATGCTGTGTATACAACATTAAGCCACGAGGATGAAAATAATTAGAAGTCATGTTGGAGTATAAGAAAGACTAAATGTCTCAAACCAACCTGGAAAGAGGTAGGCACACACACGATGTTCAGTTTCTCCTGACGCACTCTCTCAGCTGGAATGAACAACATACACAAAGTTTAAAAAAATTCCAATCCAAATGTTGGCACTTCTTCATTTATGGTTTTTCACTTGTGATGACAAACCAGAACAACACCCACTAGAGGTAGTATGTTTGATGAAACAAGTCGTGCACTGCAACCTCAACCTTGTGCTTATTTACACCCAAGCAGACTTACCTTAAAACATCCAAAAAATAAGCAATGAACTTTCTGCTACTTACTGTGGCCAAGTTATTGTCTTAAAGACAAGAGCCAGATGGTTAGGTGTAATTCCTGAGACATAAGACCATCTAAAATCTGAATTATAATGTTTCGCTCACCTAATCTGTCCACGGCATAGACAATGGTTGACCCGCTGCCCACTCCAACCACCTGGTTATTCTATGGAAGAAAAAAAAGAACACAAACTGGTGCAAAAACACTTCATTTTGAAGCAATTCCTTAAAACAGAGGGGACGCAAAGCTGCCATGAGCCCGATAAGCATTTACTTTCCTGTAGGTGGGCCGACAGTGAGAATCAGTGATCACAATATCCTGAACAGTACTTACAGCTGATCTAATTGACTGCATTTATGTGTTCATGTCTTCATGGTGTTTCCATATACTCACACATACCATGAACACGTTAATATATCACACAACATCTAGTTGAAACACCAGTTTTCTTGATATGTGATACCAACAGACTGCAAATATGTTCACGATAATGTGTCCACCTCTTATTGTTTCTGACATTTCATGAGCTTACAGTCGGGATGTGGGAGGTTAAATGTCAGAATCAGAAAGAGCTTTATTGCCAAGTAATGTTTTAGACATATGAGGAATTTGCTTTGGTAATAAGTTGATACACTTAGACAAACATACATTTGACATAAATAAATGTAGAAATATATAAATATGGAATAAACAAATGAAAGTTATATAAGAATAATAAAAGAATAGAGACAAATAATACAATGCAAGGAGTCTAGTCTAATTCAAGCATCTGGAAAAGACAAAGGTATCACATTTTCACAGTAGAGTCTGGACAGACAACCTGTTAACTCTATTATCCATTATGCAGTTACAACAGCAGTGCAAAGTTCTGTCAGCTCCTGCTTCTAATTTCAGGCTGCAAGTTTAAATCATGCATAACATTGTTAGCTCATCTATTTCTGTCTTGCTTGGCAGCTAACACAGACTAACATACGGTTAGTATTTTTAGTCTTTAGCCCACTATCCGGGGACAAGCATGCATAACACTGAGCTAATTCCCTGCCAAACCGTGCAAGTTAAATAACAGCTATACGTTAGCAAGCTAAGCTACGTTACTTTATATCTCTGTTTGTTTGTTTGTTAGCTAGCCCTGCTAGCGTGCAGCTAAGAGGTTTTATCTGAGCTGGTGTAACGTTAAACAAGAAGCTAGCAGGCGGTGAACACATGTCGGCTAACAGCGACGCTATGAGCAGTCATCTGTACCTGGACGTGGTTGTCCACGGAGGCGTAAGCGGCCAGTTTCTTCGCTTCTTCTGCCATGTTCTCACCGGACACACTGAACAGACGCACGTGTTTCTGGCTGCTCAGAGCCGCCAGCCTGCAAGATGCTGAAGAAGACAGAAATCCAGCTGCGAGGTTGCTGAGGGAGACCCACCCCTGGAGTCTCATGACCCGGCCCACACAGACACAGATGGGCAGGTTTCTCCTTCCTGCGCCAGGAAGCCAAGAGCGACGTTTTAAATGTGTGCTTTTAATCCTGTTTGACAACTGATCACCTGTCCAGTGTCTCCTCATATGACTTGGAGATCTGCGGGTTATCTGCGCAGGTACAGCGCAGCAGCGACCCCACCGGGGCCCTGGACACTCAGAGGCTCACCTGCTCGGTATGCTGTCAGAAAATAACTTTCTAGGGATTGTTTGTGTAAAATATCCGTTACAAAGCTAAATCACACCATCATACTACATTTGAGGATATGCATCTTCAGTGTGGCTGATCAGTGTAAAGTTTGTCCGGAGGGTGGCGCAAGAGGAAAAGCGATGTAAAATGTAAAAGGTCCATCCTCTTGGGAGAATGAAAAAGGACATGAGAAGGACATTTCACCACAGGTAATCTGAAAATAGACCACAACACGCTCACTCTTAAATAAATTAATAAATGTAGATGCTCTGTATTTGTATAGCGTCTTTCTAGTCTTTTGCGACCACTGAAAGCGCTTTTATACTACAACCTACCTCCTGAGCCCCAAATGAAAGAATAAAAACATTATATTAAAAGGAGGTGCTGAATCCAAATATTATAAAGTCATAGAGGAAAAACTAGACCTAGTGCTGTCCTAGTCTTTCCTCTATGACCACAGTCAATCTTCCAATTACATTTTGATATTTTGTGTGCGCAACAAAGGCTGTTGTCTCATTTCAGTTTTGGGAGAGACAGCAACTTACAGAAGAAACTGATTTCTTCTGTATGATACCAGTGTTTCAGTACTGATATCAAACAATACTTTCATATCTTACTGTATCACTGAATGAAAAGGTCAAACATTAAATGTTGTTAAATCACAAGCATCAGAACAAAATCTTTGCCTAAATAAAATACAATTCAAAAATGTGCAAAATTTGGATTGAAATCAGGAACTATGCGATCAATGACTGCACAAAATACAAATAACCTGACATAAATGCTAGCTTTCAGTATGTGATAGTTTTTTATACTTGTTACTGCCAAATTTTGGTTGGTACCAACACATTTAGAGTTTCAATATCCAGTGCTAGTTTTTGTTTGGAGTTGATAACCGACTTACTTGGAATAAAGAGACTGTCTTGGTGAATATCTCCACAATACATTTGTGTACTATAAATTAACTGCATACTTTATGAAACCATTTAGCACTTCACATCTTGACCTTTTGTGACACCTTCTAATGGAACAAAGTGTCAAGAGGACATTATGTCCTGATGGTTGGCACTAGAGAAATGGTCATGGAGTCAACAACATAACAAGGAAGCCTCCTCTAAAGTGCTATAAATATACAGTATCTCACAAAAGTGTACACCCCTCACATTTGTGTAAATATTTGATTATATCTTTTCATATGACAGCACTGAAGAAATGACACTTTGCTACAATGTAAAGTAGTGAGTGTACAGCTCAAAATAACATCACACAGCCATTAATGTCCAAACTATTTAGATATTTAGCTGTGGTCCAAAGTGTCTGACAATGAACACAAGCACACACAAATGTTTACATCACTACTACTTTTTATTTGGCAAACAGCTTGAGATAGTCTCTCTTTTTCAGTGTACAGTATATATACTATAGTAAACCAACACATTCTGTTTGATAACCATTTTTTCTAATTTTTACATATTACAGCTTACAAATATAGCTGATCTTTTTGACAAAAATTACAGATTTAGTTTGACACCTAAATTATTATGCTATATAAAAATCCACACATCTTACATTCATGATTAGAAAAAGTAGGCTATATGAAATCAGGAAGAGAAAAAAGGAAAAAAAAAAAAACTTAACACCACAGCACGCAATTTCAAACAAATCCAATTAGGAGGAGGGGCGGGGAGTCAAGGTTTCACAAACAGAGTAGTATGACTTTCACTCTGAATCCAACGTCATGTCCTCTGAGAGAAGTTTGCTGCTATTCCAAAATCATCAGTACAGAGATAATATCAAGGAACAACAATACTGTCACATGAGAAGAAGGTTAAATCTCTGTACTCACTCCAAAGTTAGAAACTAATACCTTACCATGGATTATAATGGATAGTTGATATAAACTAAAATTTGCATTGCAAACTGTACATATTACTTCATACCTCACAATCTCTCTTGTCTCACCAGTGCTGTTTTAAGCTGTAGTCCAAGGATTATGTAAATGCTTCCAAGCTTCTCTTTCATGCCTTGCTATCGCTGCATGAGATGTCTGCTTAAATTGGACATTTTTACTCACATCCGTAAGACAAAGTTGAACAGAACTGCATGAGGGAGCTGCCATTTGGATACTGGGAAAGCAACTAAACCATAATGAAATCCTGCACTGAGAATGCCTCGTTGACAGGCAAACTTTTTTCTCCTTGATGTGCAATAATTGAATCAGCACAGAGCAATTTTTGTACCATGAGGACGGACTGAAAAGTTGCTGTCTTAAAAATACAGCTAGCCTGTTTTTTTGCTTCACTGATAGGTCCCCCCCTCACTGGGAAACCCGAATCTCACCAGTGAAGTTCTGTTTTTATAGACAGTATTGCTGAATATTGAGCATTGCATTCAGTTTATTGAGAAGTTACTGTGTGACTTGCTACTTTTTTTTTCTTGTGTAGGATACATGTCCATTGGCATCACATTGTATCAAAAACCCAGATGAGTCATGCTTTACGCAAACCAGTGCCTAGAAATGTTTTTTTTTTCTTTTTGTACTGTAGATAACAAGATAATCTTTCCAGCGATTGGATTATACATGACAACGTTTGCAAGCATCGATCTAATTATAACATCTAAATAGAAAACAAGACCAGATTATTCTAAAACTCATCGTTGAACACTTGTTCACAAAAATAAAAAAGAGATGCATTTTGTTGAATCCAAAGCCCACAAATGTTTTTTATTTATTTATTCTTTAACCTTTACCTGACTTTTATCTTTACTTGCAATGCCCCAGAACTGTGTTGGACTTTGACATGGACCTGGAAGGGACTTTTGATATGTAAACACTGCAGCAGAGCCAGATGTAAGACAACACATACAAGAATCAGCAACTGTGGAATGTAAAAGAGCCAACAGAGAATTACAGAATACTTTCCAGTTTGGGGTAAAAACACAAAATGATAATTTTCTCCTTAAAAGATAAACTGTCATGATATATGATAAATAAATATTTTATTTGAATTTAATCTAAAATACCTTTTTGTATATTATTATAATATATTCTAATATATTCCTAATTTGATAAAGATTTCACTATATGTTTTGGTTTGTGCTGTCATTCTAAATAATTACATATATATATACTATTGGAATGTTTTTGTTTTTTTTTATTCAGCTGAGGAAGGGACTGAGAGACAAATTAGTAATGTCCATGACACACACACCCACACACACACACACACTCCTTTTTCCTCTCCTTAATGAACACTGACATTTGTTGGAATGACTTAGAAACTCAATAAGTACGAGCACAATTGTCCTTCATAGAAAAAAGGGAGAATCACAGCTAAAAGGTGCAGGAAGGTAAATGTTTTAACACTGCACAATGACAGGATTACAAAAGGTAAAGATTTACTTTGCAGTGGCCTAAATACAGTGTTCTTACCAGTTAATTCACCCACGGTAAAGTATTTAAGTACTTAACACAATGTAAGTATGTAAAATTTACCCGAACGACAGTGTAAAAACACAATGTGAGTGCAAAGTGTCAAAAAAAAAGAAAAGATATTGTTCATACTGACATTGTGCCATTACACCTTTCTAAGTACTCGACAATGTAGACTGGCAACCGTTTTTATTACTTACACAGCATTAGTGAGTACTTTAAGCACTTACCCATAGCTTAACACACAGATGAATATACTGCAGTAAAGATATTGTAAAATGTTTCCTTAAAATGTAAAGGTGTGAGGAGAACATGGAGGTATATGGCACTGAGCGATCTAACAGGGTCAAACAGAGGTGAAACAGGGAGTTCTGGGCGGTCCTGTTTTGCGGTAGAACTTTTCCCCAGAGAGATGCTGTCTGTCCATGTTTGGAAAACATTTCCTACGGCTCTCATCTCTCCTCCTCACACGACTACCCATATTTCCAGTGCTTCACCTGTAAGAATGTTCTTATCAGATACAAAAATCTAAACAGTCGGTATTTCTCCTTTTTGCTTCCATACAGTTTTGCATTGAAAAATACGTTTTCTTTTTTTTTTTTTATTCTAGACTTTTTTGTGGATCCAGAACTCCATCTGTAGCTACATGTGTTGGGCATCCATTATGTCCAAGTATTTGGCCTCAATGATATGAGGAAGCACATTGTTCCTAAAAACAGAGCAGACAGAATTTATGTCAGTTATTACATGTTAGGCCAGCAATGAGAAAGAAAATGTCAGATCTTATCAGACAAGATTTATCAATTCTTCTAGTACCAGTGAACAAGAGAGCAAATATAACAACTATACAGTGGTGGCTGATGTAAGTATGTGAGTGTGAACAACAGCACTAAAGATCTGGGTGAGAAAATGCTGCATATACTGTATATCAAATACAAAATGACTCTTTGCACTGAAAGATCTTTAAGTTGACATTAAATTATTTTTCTTTTTAATGCAGTAAAATTACAATCACAAGGCACAAGTCCAAACTGTACATGATGTCTGCTCTAATCAGTATTCTTTTTAAAACAATGGATGAAATGACTAAATGCATGTGAAAGGTGTTGCTAACAGTGACGAACCCACAGAGAATTATTAGCCGACTCTTACAGCAAATATTTTTGGTTTGGTTAAGTCTCATTGCTTTGATTAGCGATGTTTCAAAATGGATGAAATGACTAAATATTGCTCATTGTCTGCTAGATGTGTAAATAAGCAACTGCTAACACATTAATCATAACAACATAAAGCTCGCAAGTGACCCCCCCCAAAAAATACATGCAGGGTTAAATATTGAAAATGAAAATAATGAAAACGCTTGTCTTGTATACTGCTACACTTGTAATGGAAGGTGTAGCTGGCATGCAGAAATTAAACCAAATCACCACAAAAATAGGAACTAATACTTTTCAAGTGCAAACCATCATTTTTTATTTAA